GGGCCGAACGCAGTCAAAAGCAAGCGAATAATCAAACGTCCCCAGATAGGCACCGTTATGGATACCATCCAGAAGGGAAGCCACGGCATTGTAGGTGCCAACTCCTCGTCGGCCTCCATAAGCCTCGTCAGGAACCCAGGTACGAGCCCATCTCTGAACACTTTCGGACTTCAGCCTCGCACTGGCCCAAGTACGCCAGAAACAACTTAAAACGGCAATCGGACGATGATTGGCAGCAGGAGTGGCGCGGTCCGTCTCACGCTTCGGTTTCCCATCTTTAGGAAGGTGAATCTGGCGAAGGTTCTTCCAACTCGACGGGGTAACTCCAACGCTCTCACACCTGTTGAAGAGCGAAGCCAAGCAAGCCCAAATGTCAAGGTGTATGCAAGGCAACTCATCACCAGTCCACCCGTCAGGACCGCAAGCAACAGACCAGATCATGGCATCGCGTGCGGCTCCTGGTGCCTACGCGATTCTAGGTTTACGTCGCATGGGGTGGGGATCAGGGGCGCACGGCACAGGAGCGTCCCTTCCCCCCACTCCCCTCGCTTGAGACTTCGAGGTCGCGGTCGATGGAGAAGACGTCGTAGGCACCTTGAGCCAAAATGGCTACTCTCTTTCTCTCTCTCTCTCTCTCCCCCTCTCTCTTTCGATTTGTCTTCTATGGTCCCGATCGAAACCCTTCGCTTTGAGCCGAAGTGGGCACACGAGAATGGCCAGAAGAGTCGCGAAGGCTCCTTGAACTGCACCTCAAACCGAAAAAACTCGAAAGCGGAATTCAAATTCGTCAATTGTTTGCACACTTGGGGCTTTCCTGTTCTGGCCTCTCAAACTCATACGCCTTAGTTTAAGCTTCGCACGGAAGGTAGAAATCCTTGACGGCAGCTGGCCCCCCCGATGAAGGGGAATCTCAACATAGTGGGGGAGCCGTTGGGCCATGCAGGACATGTACATGTAGGACATTTTGCATAGGGCGGGACCCCCTCGACACCGGCCTTCCTGGCCTCTTTCTGGGCCGTCAGCGCCATGCTCCGCCTCACAGGATATCGAAGGAATCGTTGTGCTCGCTCACACGATGAAACCTTCATACCTAATTAAACATGCACACATGCAATTCATGCAATAAAGACGAAACACAAGAAGGCAACTGGGAGCATCGGCTTGTTTACTTCAGTCTCGCTTCCGACTCGTAGAGAAAGCACAGGCCGACAACCGGGATTGAAGCAGATCCTTTCCGCTTTCAGCTTTAAACTTCAGTGATGCTAGTTTTGCGACCCGGGGCTTCTACAGCTCTTAAAGCTGACCGTCATCTCGGAGCCCTCGGACCCTGACTGTTGAGCGTCCTGGGCCGCCCTGCTTGGCGGCGGGCTCCGGGCGCGGAGCAAGCTGCAGGCCACAGCGCTGGGAACCGTCAGGCAACTGATTCCCAAGATGGCACCATGGACACCCTGGCAGATGCCTCGAGCGACGGGTCTTGAGGCCACAGACGCAGCCGACCCCACCGCCGCCAAGCAGGTCAGAAAGGCGAGCACACGCAGGCCGGAAGTGGACCAGATCAGTGCACAGCCCGCCGCGTCCTCCTTCCATGTGGCGATGATCCAGCGAGCCTCGTTAGCGAACAGCATCAGCGGCACCAAGGGCAGCACCAGGGAAACAGCCTCAGCGGCCAACAAATGAACCAATAATTACCAGCAGCACAAGACTTGCCGAGTTGCTGTGGCGACGTCCTTCACGTAGCAGCTGGTCGGCGCAACGGAAACCAGGAGTGCGAAGAGGCAGGCAGTCAGGTTGATGCCTGCGGCACCAACCAGGGCTGCAAAACCGCGGAGCCAACGCAGCCTGGACTCCCGCCAGGGCGTGCGCCGCGCGGACCAGAAGGCGGCCAGATCAATCAGAGTGAGCATGCAGAGGAAGCAACTTGTGACAGACGTCAGGACGTAGATAGTCCAGTTCAACTCCGACTTGACGCACTTGCAGGAGGAGTGGCCTGCAGATTGAAACATGTGGCAGTAGCCACCGTGCCTGAGGCAGTCCTCCGGACAAAGAGGGTCAGGGCCGCAGCTGAGGACAGACTCAAAGTGCACTGGAGTGCTGGCCTTGGGGATTGCCAGCAGAATCACCTTGCCCGCCAGCATGGCGGATTTCCAGAGGATGGCCCAACGGAAGTGCCGGTCCAGCTGCCGCCACTGGTACCGTACCGAAGCCAAGGCAACCAGGCCTGTGCCCACTGAGAGCAGGCCAATGATGGCAACAAGCGCAAGGAGGCAGTGCCGCGGGCTGTTGGTCTCTCGCAGGTACTGGTAGGTGCAGGTCGCGGATGACACTGCAGCATTTATCAGCAAGATGATGTGGCGTCCGTTCCAGCTCCGCACGAAAGTCAGCACCCAGGCAGGAAAGCCCCCGCAACACATAAGAAGGCCCTGACAGCATCGACGCCGATCGGAGCCTTGGCGTGTCTCGACATAGAGGAAGCTCCGGACAGGCAGGCATGACACCGGGAACAGCCTGCTGGCACGCACCTGTTCAAGGCACATCAAGCCCAAGACGGCAGCTTCACAGATCACGACCCAGAGGCAACACCCAAGTAACGTGGCCACTGGATGCAGTGAGTCCGCTTGCCCCACCCTGTCTAGCAGCACCATGAGGCTGGTCACCACTGCAAGCGCTGCCAGTAGCAGCAGTGGACCCGACATGGCAGGAATCTCTGGCACGCCTGCCAGGTGCTGCCGGCGACCGAAGCGCTCGACGGCAAATGCTGGCAGCGCGACAGCAGCCAGAAGGCTTGAGAGCCAAGTGGGCCATAGCGACCATCCACAGGCCCTGCCGCAATGGGAAGAAGCGCAAATGCACAGGCAAAGCCCCAACACCACCAAAGGCCTCCCGATTTCAGCTTGCGCTCCAACGCCTTGCCACTGCAAAGGGCGGCGACACAGATCGTCAAGGCCAGGCAGAGAATAAGGACCATGTGCCCACCGGGCCTGAAGCTGCACGACGCAGAGCCCGACACCGACAGCAGCGTGTCAGGGCAGGGGAGACAGCGCCCGGCCCTGCCATAGTCTGGGCACTCCTTTGTCCGGAAGACCTTGCTCCCCACCACCAGAGTGTCAAGCAGCGGGCTGGCCGGGTCTGACCAAGCGCTGAGCATGCCGTAGATCGAGGTCTCGAATCCGGGGTCAAACGAAGCGAAGGGCTTCAAGCTGCCCCCGGGCCGCAGGTCCTTCCCATAGAAGGCGTAGATTTGGCCAGCCCGATGCACCATCAGACCACCGTCCGCCAGGGCTAGCAGCCCGCAGCCGGGGCCCGCGCCGGCCTGTGGAATGGCTTCTTCGTCTTTAATCCATGCTGGATGGTTTTGCAGGCTTGTTGCCCTCAAAAACCCAAGGTCAACGTTGCAATAATGTCGCGTTTGGGTGCCTATTCAAAGGCCTGTTTCAAAGTCTACGCGGCCACCGTGGCGGAGGAGTGAGGACCAAAATTGTCCAGTCTTTTCTGCTTTTGTAACCCTCCAGGCCTCCAGTTCAGCATAGGGAAGACCGCCGGCCTCAACTGCTGATGCGTTGAAGAGGGACATGATTTGGTAATTGTTGCCCTCAAACATATTGGCTGCCAACCCACCGTCACAGCAGCTAGCCGCAGCACTTTGAAAGCCATACCTCGGATCCAACGGGGGTCCACTGCATGCTCCATCCTGCTTTTGCAGCTCGACGTAAGAGAAGCGGCATTCAACCATGGCAGCCACGGGAACCAGGAGAACGCACAAGCCCAGGCCCAAAACGAGGTCTCCGTCGGCAGTTCCTCCCATCAGATATACCTGACTAGTGTAGTTGTTCGGCACAGTCATGGAGCAGCTGGGATCCAGCACCTTGTCGTCTCCATAAGCGTATGCGTAGGTCAAGTTCCAGAGCAACACGGTCGTGTTTTTTGCCCCGCTATAGCTTGCGGCAAGGATGAGATCTGACACTCGAACAAGTCCCCAGAATCCGCAAGGGTTGAGGTCGCTTGCGATTGTGGTTTTGAACAACAGTGTTGTTTCCCAGTCACCGTTCTCTGTGGCGTTGAGAAACTGGAGAACCCTCCAACCAGAATAGTTTCCAGTGTAAAAAGCAACGCCCCCAGCGAGGGGGATCAGTTCGCCAATACCTTGTGAGAGTTCAGGCCAGGCGTGTTGCCATTCTCCAGCCGCCCGTGGTGTCAATGCTGATAAGTTGAAAAGTACTAACGATCTTCCTGCTACCGCGTCGGTTTGTATGATGCCAAGGCCTGTGCGACCCCAAGGAATCATCACAGAATCAGGATCAGCAACTGCACTCACCAGTGCTCCCACAGGACGATGCGGGGCCGCGAGGCTCAGGAGTGCCTGCCACGCCCTTGTTCGTGGCCAGTGCAAGGATGTCTTCCTGTAACACCAACAGCGACCTGAATGACTTGGGCCCCTCAGTCAAGTCTGGGACGGGCAGCTCCATGACGGAATCCAAATCAGTCGAGGCTGCCAGGAATATGTAGACCTTCTGCGCACGAGGGTGTTTGGTGGACCCGCAGCGAGGGTCCCACGACAATCTCCACCCTCACTGCTCAATCTGGCCTTGCTAGATGCAGGGCCACCCTGTAGTAGGGCAGTTGTTGAAAAAACGCTTAGTTCCAATAAACAATCCGCAGCTGATGTGCTTGTATTTGCATGCAGCGTGGCCACCCCACCCTTCGGCAATACCTGAAGCGAATTCGTTGTACTGTTGATGCGCAAAGCCTTGCTTGAGACCTGCCCGGCTGTTTGCACAAGGAGCAGCACGAACTCTCCAGTGACGTTCACGATAAGGCCTCCGCAACACACTCCAACTATACTTAGCGGTTGCTCTGGTGTTGGACTAGACCACCACGCGAGCGGATGTCCACCCGAATGCACAGCTTCCACTCCCCAGAAAGAGATACGCTCCGCACATCTGAGTGCCAGACCACCATCGACAGTTTGCACAAGCTGGTGTGTCATAGGCTGGAGTCCGGAGTTGTGGCACGACGAAACTCCTGTGAGCTTTCTGCCTGTGTGCGGACCAGCATTGGCATCAAAGACAACAAGCTGCCCGAGATTGTTCAGGATCGCGAGACCACCGCTCCCCAAAGAGCAGGCCACTTGAGCATCTAACTTCGCTGCTGGGATGTTGTAGGACAGCTTGGCCTCCAAGTTCTGCACGCTCACGGCCCCTCCGGCCATCCCGCGAGACACGAGCTGGCCCTGACTCGTGAGCACCGCGTTGCCAGGGGTCAAACCCAGCAGCTTCATGAAGGTCCCATCGCGCAGATCAAAAGCGGGGCCAGCAGCAGAGGCTGCAGCTTGCCACAGCCACGGAAACACCAATCGGATAGCCCCTCCCACAGCCATGCCATGCCCCATGAAGGGAAGGGAGTCGGGAAGCTTTGAGCCTCCCAGACTGTTCCGCGGCCCGGCCCCAAGATTTCAAACCAAACATGCGTTAACGATGAACCTCAGAAGACCCCCCAACTTTCAAGCTCGATGCAGATGCTGGCCTGGCCTAGCAGCCACATGCCCCTCGTTTGAGATAACCTGGCACGAGGCTTGAGTACTCTGGTAGATGTGGACATCATGAAACCGGAGTTCCGAGACAAGTGCAAGACGTACCGACTAGGAGGGTGACAGGCCACGGTGGCCCAGCCGAGTCTGCGGCGTCTTTTCTTCCGCGAGGCTGCGTGTTCGCGCACCAGCCTTCGGGCTGCAGCGGTACAAGCTTGGGGTTGCTGGTGCTCACCGGTTGCATTTCAATTTTAAGCTTAAGAAGCTCATCGGGCAGATCCAGTAACCACAATCTTCATCGCAAGAGGATAGGCTCAACCAGCCTGTAGTCAATAGTGAAGACTCCCGCCGGCTTCCGCACGAAGAGACCAGCTGTCCGAAACGAATCAAGATGAGCACAGAACACAGCAAGACAATGCTAGCGGCAGAATTACCGAGCGTGAGAGACCCGAATTGCCAGAGGTATTGCCCGCGACACAAAAGGACCGCTCAAAGGCAAGCACAAGATACGAGCCAAAGATTGCTACGCCCAACGGCGAGCCAACAAATTCTGAACGAACAGCAAAGGAACAAAGGACGAATCAGATTCACGAGCCAACGGCCCAACGGTGAAGAAGCACACAGAAGCGTCTTCGCAAAGCGGGAATAGAGATACGCTGAGTGGTGAAGACATCAGAAGGAACTGGAAACGAAGGACCGCGCGCAAGGAAGGCGGAAGGAAGCACACCCGACGCATCGAGGCGTGCTAATCCAGGATCCTCACATGCCGCCGTAGTGGCAGAATGCGAGTGTCCGAAGGCATGTGGCGATTGTTAACATGCGCCAAACCAGCGACCTTCTGGTGCGAGTTTGTTTTTTACTCCTCTAAGGGGCACATTGTTTGGAGATGGCTGAGTTCCCTGAAGCCTTGGTTTTTGCAAACCCCCGAGTAACGCATTCAGAGTCGACGCCAACAGGTACCACACTCTTATATTGCATATGTTTTTTATGGGGGTCTTCACTGGCCAACCTTCCGCCGCAGAAAACTCAGTAAAGTCAATGCCTTATAATGATGTAATGACTTCATCATACTTCATCGAAACAGATCTTGGTAAGGTAGGCCGCGCAAATTCGACATCTGCCTCATGAAGACATGCCATATACCCTACTGCAAGACTGTTTGACTATCAAGCTAATTCAGCCAACGCCAAAACACAATAAATCCACTGCTTTGGTATGCAAATATCGGAGAGCAGGAGCCTACTGGCTCAGGTAACTTATTTGTTAACGTGCGCAGGATTCCGCACCCTGTGGTTTTCAAGGCATAGCCATGCCTTCACGTTCTCAAGCGTTTCAGCTGCGCAGAATCACCAGGGCAACTCTGTGGCACAAGTATCACGAAGGATCTGGCAAAGCGAGGCTGTCCATGCTGACCGGGACTCGGGCATCCCTTTCCGGCGCTTGTGGAATGTCGGTTGGTCGCTCTTCTGCTAGAGCACGCGGTGGATCCACAATGCAAGCGCACGTCACAGCAAAAGCTGCTCCGGACTGACTTTGTGTTGTGGTATGGACGGGACCCGCGAGCAGTGCTACGGACCTAGTTGAAGCAGGTGTCTGGAGGACTGAATCTTTCATGCAACCCAGTTGCTACGGAAATCAGTCTACATGAACTTGATATGGAGTACCGATCACAACCGCTGAAATCTGATCACATGAACACAGCAGCCATCAGCTATCATGAATGGAGCAGGCGCGGAAATGCAGGAAGCACGTGCCCATTTTGAAGGTCTTGATTGGGCTTGAAAGGAAGGACATCCCATGCTGCTTATCGCTTCGCATTTCACCTAGAGAGCGCTGACCTCCTATTTTCGGAGACTGGCACGTAACCGAGGCGACTCCTTTGCAACTTCCGCATTTGGGTGCATCCCTCTGCCAGCAGCTCAGCAGCTCTGAAACAGCACAGTGTTTTGACTGCTTGTTTGTGAAGTCTTGGCGAGTGCTGACCCTGTGCGGACCTCTTCGGAGGGCACTGCGGGTCAGCACCCCGACGCTCTCTCACAGGAAGCAGTCAAAACACCTTGCGATTGGTTGGTTGTTGGTGTGGGCAGCTTCGCGACTGCAGGGGCGAGTACGCGTGAGTATGCGCGGGTATTCCCGGGTATGCGCGAGATGTGCGAGTATGTGCGAGTATGTGCGAATGTGTGTGAGTATGTGGGTATGCACAAGCACCCACAAGCCATCACCGTGGCATTTGCCAAGACAAGAACTTTACCACAAGCACCCGCACCCACTTTCAGAAGTCGCAACAATGACGTCTTCACATGAGATGGAAACGGATCCCCTGCAGATAACCTCCACTCCGGCATCGGTTGTGCCTGCAGCTAAACAAAGTAGCGGGAGCGAGAGCTCACCAAGGGCTGCAAGCAGACCCGCGTCTGAGGGTGGAGAGTTGCCGCTGTCTCATCGAATAGACCTTCGAGGGCTTCTAGTCCGTACCATAAGAATAAGGTTGCCCCAAAGCCAATAGGCACGTATGTGTGCGAAGTTGCAAAGTCTAAGATGCCAGCGCCAACCGGTAATCCCGTGACATATGGACCAGCGCAAGAGGTCCACCTGCGTAAGCATGAACAGCTGGGTGTCATTGTGCAAGGGGTTGATCCACAGGTTCATTCCCAGGCTTTGGTGCAGGCTCAGATTATTGAAAACCAAGCCGTTGCGTAAGTTGGGTATGTTTCCGAGGTTCAACATCAGGCCCAGAGTCACGCCCAAAGCAGATTGCAAGCCATTGAGCACCAAGCGCAAGCTATGGTTTCAGAGGTTTCCGTTGAAGTTTCAAGGCAAGAGGATCAGGCGCATGTAACTTTCGACTTGGTGGGTTCCCGCAGCAAAGCGGAAGTTCACACGTCACGAAAATGGCTCTGGTTGCTGCTGCGTGTTGTGCCATGCTTGGCAAACTTCGTTTATTGCGTGAGAACTTCGTTCTCTCTGTACTGGATCTGTTGTGTGGAAGCTACTTAACTGCGTGCAGTCATCTCGATGAGACATCGGTCAACGTACATGCATGGAACTACTTCCAACATGATGTGCGCGCGCAGCCGGGGAGTTGGGGGAGATACTTAGCTGCCTGCAGGCGTCTCGGTGCCTCATCGTACATGCATGGAACTGCTTCCAAAACTGTGTGATCGCACACGGGGGGGGGGGGGGGGGGGNNGGGGGGAGAGCTAGCCGCCTGATTGCGTCTCGGTGAGTCATCGTACATGCATGAAGCTACTTCCAGTGTGTGCGCACGGGGGGTTGGGGAGACACTTAACTTCCATCGAATCCGTTGCCTTCCACACGACTTGGGGTCTGTGGTAAGCTTGGATTTTGTGGCTGAGTTCTCGCAGTTTGCAGATGTAGAGGCTTCAAGCCGCAGAATCCTGAAGCTTCAGCCTGGAGCCACAGAGAAATCAAAGCGACTCTCAGGTTCCGCAGGTACTCCTTTTTCTTCCTGCCTGAGACGGTGGAAGGCCAGGCCTGGAGCTGCGGCACCTCGGAGCTTGAGGCATCCGTTCAGCCAGTGTGCCTCTCCGTGCTTCGATGTTCCAGGTGTAAAGTGGGAGCAGAGGATCCTGAAGCCTTGGCAGGCTTTGCTGTGACCTGTGAGCCTAGCAAATCGCATCAGGTGTTGACGAATTGAATCGCCAAGGGCCAAGGTTATTGATTGATCAAAACTGCCAGCGCGCATGCTTCGAGAAGAGCCGAAGCCGTGAAGCGGGGCCGAGCAGCATCGGGTTGCTTTTCCGGTCAGCTGTATGTTGCCGCGCTCGCGGTATCGCGCTCTGCCGGCAGACTTCGAACCGACTGACATCGACGGCTGCCGCGAGCGCTTGGTCCTGAGAGGCCTTGGCCCGAAAAGGTAAAAAGTACAAGTCTCAGACTTTCAGGGCCCACTCCTCCAGGGTTGGATGCCCTGAGATGATGAACGCGGCATGCCACATGGGCCTCCCAAATGTGCTGTCCTGCATATGGCAGCAAGACCATGTGCCAACATGTGGTAGTTAAGTTAGATTTCCCCAACTCTTCCGGGTTGATAACTCTCAGGCCCTGCCAGAGGACTATCAAAACGCCAAGTACGAAGTGCAAGTTCTCTCTGAGAGCTTCAAGGACTGCAGTTTGAAGCGCAGAAGTTGAACGCAAGAGAGGCATCCCCAGAGAGCCGAATACCCCTGAATTAAGGAATTTACCGTAAATCATATTATTAAGGCCCCTATAATTTGAGGTATATTCCTTAATTAAGTGGATTGGGCTCTCTGGGTCCCTTTTCACTGAGCTTCCTTCGTCTCCGCAGGACCTTCCCTTTCTTTCAGCCGCGATGCACCAACATGATTCAGACGGCTGAGAAGGCCGTCTTTCACTGTACTTCCCCGGTGCTACATAGTTGCAGGGCTGTGAGGCACATGGGAGGTTCCGACTCCTCGTGCTCAAGAGTCTTTCAGAGTGTTGGTGTTGACCCAGTTCGGGAGTTGGCTGGGGCTCTCCGGAAGTGGGCCTCCACCCCTTGAGTTACGGATCCTGAAGCTGAAATTCAGCCGCAGCGACACGAACCCTGACCCAACCAGAGTGAAGCTTGGCCCCAGGTGGGTGGCGAAGTTGTGGACAAAGCATTCCGCTCGCTGCGCTCTCAGTTCGGCTCCGGCACCACAGGCAGAGGTCAAGGCAGAATCTGAAGCGATTCGCTTTCCCCAGGTGCAGGGAGCGCCACGAGCGGCCGTAGCCGCAGCCCTTATGCCGCGACAGTATGTTCGGCTCCGGTCTTCCGTGAGGGTAGAGAGTCCCACACTTAAGGCTCGAGTGGCTTTGGCAGATCAAATTCTGTATGGATGTGATGGAGCCGCGGGCTTGGCTAGATGCTCTGTCTATTCCAACTTTCGGTCGGCTCTCCTCTCTTCTGTGTGCTTCAGAATCATCGATATCCTTCTGACAGAACCGGACTTCCGAGCCCTCTGAGGGTCCGGGACCCAGGGAGCAAAGCCGGCAACCTTACAGAGGGGAAGTTTGTGCTGCACTTGTGTCAGGGCCGACCGCCAAGCGAAGAAGGACAAGATCGCCTTTGTGGCCACAGCCTTGGAATGCGGGGCGGGCCCCTCTGCAGAGTTAGACAGACCGTTCGGTTTGTCCCGGAGCATCGTTTTGTGCGTTACCGTTGTGCCTTGCTCCGACGCCCAATAATGACAGGAGCAGCTCCAGCGCGAAGAGGAGCACCAGAAGGACTTCCAGAACTACTCTGCCGTCTGAGCCCCAGCTCTGCCTTTCAATTCGCTGCAGGACTCTCCGCAAAACTCTTTGCTGAAACCGGTTGACCAAAAAGGCAACGATCTGCGCAGCCCAAGGAATGGGAATTGGAATGGGTCGAGATCTTGGGCTCCGACGCTGTGGCCAAGGTGCGAACAGAGCTGCGCAGCTAAGGTCTTTTCGCTTAGGAGAGCCTGCTATCTTGGGGTCTGTGCAAAACCCACGGTAGATTGGATTTGGGATTTGTTAGCCTTTCGTATCAACGGCGGGTCTGCAAATGCGTGTAAGCCCAGGAAGCTTGCATTCAGCCAGCGTGCTAGAGAGTCTTGCACCATCTTTTTCGGGAACGGCTGCTGTGTTGATGCACAGGCTGACGGACTTCAGGAGCCCTAAGGCTATCATAGCACCGTTATCATAGCACGGCTATTATACTACTATTATGAAGGTACAGTGGCTAGACCTGCGCACCAGAGTCTAAAGCCGCTCTAGAGCCGCTCAGTGCCCAGATTGCAGGTGATCGAACCCATGTGCGGCGACTGAGAAGATTCATCCAGATGGCCACAAGTGCCGGACAAGTGAATCAAAGATCTGTGCACCGGCTTCGCACTTTCGTGCATGATGTTGGGGATGGCCGTTTCCCGTTGCAAAAAGCCTCCTTTGCCCTGCCCCTGCAACCACGTGGGAGAATCAAATTTAAGCTCTGTACTGCTGCAATACAGACCCACGCAGCACCGTCTTGTAGAGATCCGTTTCCAGTTCCCTTTGAGCCCAGAAAGACGAGGAGGAGAGTCGAAAATGCACCGTGGATTCGGCTTTTGGGCGTGTGTTGGTGGTTGGTGATGGAGGGTTGGAGGGGGCCCGCGTTCCGCCTTCGAGGCTCTGGGGTTCTATAAGGGTAGGGCTTATAGGGCTTGACCCCCCCATGACTCACACTTCCTGCTGCTTGCGCTGCCTTGAATTGGCGAAGCTCGCAACTAGCATGTGACCGCACGCCAAGTTTCAGGCGATTGAGAAGATTGTGGCGAAAGGCTAGCAGAGGCCCTCACAGATTCTGAGCAGGCCATGCCTTCGGAGCTCAAGCTTTCCGTGCAGTGCAGAGCAGAACGAGATATCCAAAGGGGAACATTCGTGTGTGTGTGTGTACTGCACTTTTGTTCATTTTGTTTGCTGCTGCAATGCGTTTGCTTGGAAGATGACTGAAGTGTAGGCAGCTTTCAGCCTAGGCACCGATGCCGAAGCGCAAACATGCTGATGGCATGCAGATCGCCGGGCAGGATCACCCAACAGGAGGCAAGAGGGTCCGTATAAAAAAGAGCTCGGCGGTGGAAGTGGCCGAGGCGATCGAGCGGCTGGTGCCGAGGGACAAGCTTACTGCCTTCAACCTCATCCAGAAAATCCTAGTGCGTATTCCGGGATGGCAGCCCGCGCTGGAGTACTCGGAGGAAAAGCAAGAAACCGAGGCAATGGAGGGGGCCCCCGAAAGTAGATGCGGCAGAGACCTTCGAGGAGGTCATGAAGCGCTTGGCACCACAGTTCGCGCATGCGCAGCTGTCCCAGGTACAAGAACTGCAAGAACGGGATGCTTTGGCTTTTGCCTTGGCAGCGGCAAAGACTGCAGGCATAGACGAAGGTGCTCACGAGCTGAAGGATTTGATGGTGGATTGTTACGAGAAGGGCATGTGCGGCAAATGTGGCTTGGACGTGGCACTGCACAGCGGGTGAACCGCCTGATTGCTTCATTGGAGCTGTGGGCTGCGAGCCGTTCCCACGATGCCGGCAAGATGGTAGCAGCTGTGGAGAGTGTTCGGCGTTATGGATTGCAGCACCCCCTGCTGCAAGAATTGACAGATGATGTTGAGCACATCCAGAAAGCACACAAGCGTGCAGAAGAACAGAAACGAGACGAGGTCCGGGAGCAGCTGTTGGAGCGTGCTGCACAATTGGTGCCTGGGAATAGCGATTCTTTGGCCAATTTGGAGCACACCATCGATAGGGCCGAGCGGTACGGAGTCGAAGAGAACCTTGTACTGAGTGTTTACAGTCAGCTCAAGATGGCCAAGTGCGAGCAGGAGTTGGATGAGGCCATGCAGCTCCGAAGCATCAGGCATTTGGAGATCGCCATTGACCAGGCGGCGGAGTGTGGCGGTGTTGCACGCGTCAAAGTACGCGCAGCAGAGCGAGTGCTGGAGGAGGAGCATCACATCAAGAAAGTTTTAAACTACTTCCGGGAAACCCTGCGGTTGCCTGGACGGAAACAGCGCGTTCTCTGTTGCTACGAGGAGCTTTGTCAGACACAACTGGGCCGCTCAGAAGAAGGTGGCTTTCGCACTCCGGTTCCTGTGTTCCGGGGCTGATGCCTGTCAAAGGTGTATGAGATGTGAGGAGAGAGCCCAGCGCGAAAATCAGGGTGGCAGGTCATGCACTCCAAGCGTTAAGTATGGTGGCACAAGGAGCATTTGGCGATGTACATCTGTGTCACTTCCAGGAAGTATCATTGGAAACGGTGATGGTCAAAGTTTGTGTGGCGAAGAAGGAGAGACGAAGGGCCGGTGGCATTTGCAGCTTCGTTGCTTAACCGGCAAGCCACAATACATCAACCAGGTCTCAACAAATCATTATGTATGGCGAAGCATTGCGCACGAAGAAGCCTTTAAACACAATCAGCACCGTCGGAAGCTTTGAAGTTTCAAACGACATAAGCAAACATGTGTGTTACTGCCCAATTTGAGGCCTGAACGTGCGTATCGTTTTTTTCAATCACGGACTGCAAAGCCCGCGCGAAGTTGAAAGCCAAACTCTGCCCACAGCCCAGGGCAAGCGCTACAGTCAGGTTGGCCTCCAAAACATGTTATCACACCTCTCCCCACTTGGCCGAAACGTTTTGCCCAGCATTGCAGAAATAAGTTCAGTTAGGCCCTGGGTACACGCGGCAAATGCGAACAGGATTACATGATTCATTCGCGGATTGAGCAGGCGTTTGCCGCTGGACAAACCAAGATATAACAGTCTAGTCCATAAACCTCCTGCCCCTGTCAAGGCCCCTCCGAAACAAGCGTCGAAGAGTCAACCAACTCTGCCTGCACAGCGGCGATGGAGTCTTAAAAATGCTTTGCAAGAATTCACCTTCCAAGCTGCTCCAGGACGGGATGTCATGTCCGAGAAGCAAGGTGGCCATGAGGATGGCGATCACCAAACGCAAACCCGTACGTCATAGGGTCGTGGAGGAGCAGCAGCAGCAGCATCTTTTATTCGATAGCATCCCGAGAAACAGATCACGGAGCAGTGGTTTCCATCAAACGTGGGGCCTCTGTGCTTGACGGCCATTAAATGGAGCCGCGGCCTTCTGTGCTCAAGCTTCATTCAGCGCTTCTTCTCTGCTGCGCTCTGTCCAGATGGTGCAGATCCTTGGCAAGGCCCCTGCGCCTGCTCTCAGCGAGCTGAAGCTCCAAACCCCTTTCTATTTTTTTCTGCCAGGGCGCATTCGCTGTAGTGGTCATGGGCGAGCATGAGGACAAAAGAAGAATCTAAAGAAGCAAAAGAAGCGCCGTGAGCTGAGATAGTGCTGCAGGGGCATTAACCGTCGATGGTGGTCTTTCATATGCCACTGTTGGAAGGTTTGGAAAATCGTGGTGCGATAGCTGAGGCTTTACTGTTCATGCTTTGCAAATGGCGTATAGTCGCGTAGTACATGTGTTGAGGCTGAATGCTGCAACGCCGGGGCCGAAGCGTCCGCATCGGCATCTTCCACTGCTTGGAGCTTACTCCGGGGTCACATTTCAAGTCGAATCTCAGCTACACGGATCTTCAGATCTGCCCGACTGATCAATGGTGCTGTGGGCAAGCTTCAGCATCTTCCGCTCGGCGCTTGTTACCGGGGTCATCTTTCATACAGATCTTTGATTGCTTTTGGAGCTCAGGATGATCCTTGGGTCCATGCGCAAGCTGCGGAGGACGTGTGCTATTAACAGAGACTTAGATCATAGGTTGAGCTCTCTTGGTTCGGATAAGTTGGTCAGGTTCAAGCTACGGTGACAACTCAACATGCAGCACGTGCCTCAGGGGTTATTTGCGTGCTTGTCTGGGGTGCCGCTAAGAGCTGCGTGGTTTCATTGGGGCGTGTCATTGGTTTTTACTGTCGTCACTGTTGTTACAGTTATGTTGTTATTGTGTTACATTCGCCGAAACCTCAACCCCTAAACCCTAGACTAGACCCTACATACTTTGCTATCAGAGTAGAACACATTTGAAACAATGCATTCATTGGCAGCGTGTTGGGATTAAACAAAGGTAAACATAGGGCATAGGGTTCAAAGAGGGAGGGCGGGGTATGGAAAAAAGAGCTGAGCATTTTGCGGTGGCATACTTGCAACTTATCAGACTTATCAATTATCGGTGCGCCACATGTCTCGAGATCAGCCGAGGAAGTGCAGACAGATTATGTGGAGGTTGTAGAGGATACCTCAGACAACCTCGTTCTCATCCACAAGGATGCCTACAAGGCGCATACGGGCTTAATTCTTTGCACAGTAGCTCCTAAGAAAAAGACTTTGAAAAAGATGCGACAAAGCCCCGCAAAATTCATGGATCTTGGATCGAGATCCGAAAGAATTACGCTAGATTTTCAATATTTTTAGGGGGTGCGAGGCACGTGGAAACCCCCAGTCATGAGAGGATGCCCTCGCAAGTTGTTGCAGGGTGGCCGTGAAGCTGGCCAAAGTTCCGCGGACCGGCCAGTTGGACCAGGAGCCTTTCTGCTGCAGAACTGGGTTTGGGCAGTTTGGTCCTTGAATGCCCTCTGAAGGAGAAGTCCATGTTGGGGCTCACCCACCCGAACGTCGTCAAGTTCACGGCTCCGGGGCTGACTTGTTCAGCTTTGGGGCCGTGATGTGGACGCTGCTGACCGGGGGGAACGACCGTGAGGCACGATTCTTCATGTTCTGTAGGCCCCAGAGGATGCACGCAATCTGAATTCAGGAGCGGCCGCAACCCGTCATCTACGATTAGATGGCGCCTCCCAGCTTCAGCAGTGGCAGGAGAGTCCTGCCAGATGCTGAAGAGGCAGATCTCTTGTTTTTGTTCATCTTCTTGGTGAACGTTCTGGTCCGGATTGTTCATCTCCACATGTTGTGCTGCTTCTCGTGACACGGTTGCCGCCTCGTGTTCGTTTTAATGTCCTGGGCCATCGTGCAATTGAAGTCGTTGTGTTTTCTGTCCCTATCCAAATGGACTTGTGCAAGGCAGAGATCCAGGGGCTGACACATTCCGAGCCCGACCATCGGCGGGGTCATGAGCTCAAGAAGCATGCATGCGTTTTCGAAAAACACGTGGTGACGCCATTTGTCGGACTGGCTTCACAGGTCCACGTGTACCACAGCTCGAGGCTTTTTCCTACAGGACGAGCAATCTGCTGGTCACGAGCTGTCTGTCTGTGTGTGTGTGTGTGCGTGGGTGTGTGTGTGTGTGGGTGGCAGTGTATTTCTGCGTGTATCTATGCATGTATGTATGCACATATAAGTATATAAATAGATATACAGATATACAGATATATAGATATATAGATATATAGATATATAGATATATAGATATATAGATATATAGATATATAGATATACAGAGAGAAAAAAGATATAGATATATAGATATATAGATATATAGATATATAGATATATAGATATATAGATATATAGATATATAGATATATAGATATATAGATATATAGATATATAGATATATAGATATATAGATATATAGATATAT